TGTGGAGAGAAGAAATACCCCATCAGTCTTCACTTCCTCTCTGACCTACCAGCAGAACTGGCAAACCAAGACTCCTAAGCTCATGCTTAGAGCAGACTGGGTAGGTCTTGATCATACCATCTCTAACCCTACTCTTAGGCTTCTTTTCCCTGGCTGAAGTGAACGGACATCACTACCTCACCTCTTGGGGAGGCCCAATTCCTGACCATGGGTACTTTAAAATCCCAGAAGTAAAAACAGAAACCTCAATGTCACCAACTTTGGGAAGAAGTGAGGAAAATACGGGAGAAAGAGAAGACTGGCAACTTCACAATCATCCTCAGAAAGCAAACTTAAGAAGGAGTCCCAAACTGCTTACTCTGCCCTCCCTTCGACTGTAGTTTGTTTGCAGGTGGTAGAAACAGCTGTGTTTATGGTTAAAAGCATACTACAACTTTGCTCAGCTCCATATTAATTCAATAACTGCAAAGTCCTGCCCTACACCTGGGAAAGAATTTTGGAAAAGGGAAGAAGGGCAGAGGGAAAAAGGCTTCTGGTGCAGAAGCAATCTCCCTTTCTATTTTTTTTTTTTTTAATTTTATTTATTTATTTATTTTTATAGAGGCATGTTTTATTTATTTATTTGGTTGTTCGTTTGTTTGTTTTTTTGTTTATACATGCACTGGGTACAGTCAGAAGCGCGGGAGGGTGAGAGAATTCACCAGAGCCAGAGCGGGGAGCAGAGCAGGCAGAAGGACCGAAGTACACTGCTGAGGGGAGCAGCGGGCGGCAGGAGAGGTCTGCGTGCCATGTGGGACCCTCCTCCAGTGGCCAGGGAGCAGCCGGGGATCGAACCGGCACCGCAGAGGCCGCGGGCAGCTTCGCAACCCAACGCTCAACTGCTGCGCCACCGGGGAGGCCCGCAATCTCCCTTTCTATATTGAAGTCAGAGTAAAGATGTGCGTGGGAGCACTCAAAAACAAATATTTCAGCAAGACTTCAGATGCCTAGAGTGTTAGGGACACTGACTCTGAAAAGGGTACATGTTATGAGCTACCCTAGGGAAAATCCTCAATTGTGCGTGAAACAGGAATAGTAAGTATGAGCAGATTATGACCACTGTTCTAAAATAAAATGAGTAGCTTACCTGGGCTCTGCTGAAGCTACCAGCCTGTCTGCCCTAAAGGAGAATGACTATCCGAGGTATGTCACTTACTTAGGTTCCTACTGTTTAGGTTCTTTTCAATAATTACTTGGATCAAGTAGGTTGGGAGAAACTTGTCCCTTTTAACCCTAGATAAAGAGAAGTTATAACAAAATTTCGCTCTAATAGAAGGTTGTAGTTAAATTCCACTGAAGGCCCAAACTTTGCCCTAGATAAAAAATGAACAGGGTGTCTGCTGAGACTTAGCTGCAATGAGCAGGCACCAACCACATCTATCATCTGCCCCTAATGGCTGAACTAATCCCATTAGTTCAGGCCATTTGGATGTCTTCTTTCAGGAAGAGGAAAATTGTGTGGGTAAGTCTAGATATCAACTGGACACTGCATCTGCTAGGAAATAAGTAGAATAGTGGGTATGTGAAACGATCAATATCTGTCCCTGGTATGTCAAAATTACCTTTCTAGTGTGATAATATACAGGCCCAATGAGGGGCTGCCCAAGTTTGGAAGACATTAGAACACCCTCCAGAACAAGCTCCTATAACTTTGCTCAGCTCCGTATTAATTCAGTAACTACAAAGTCCTGCCCTACACCTGGAAAAGAATTTTGGAAAAGGGAAGAAGGGTAGAGGGAAACAGGTTTCTGGTGCAGCAGCAATCTCCCTTTCCATATTGATTACCTTGAAGCAAGGACTAATGGTGGGGGGCCAGCGCACAGGGTCCTTGAGGATAAGGTTGACCAGCTGAAAGATGCTCGTGGTATAGAAGGGAGGGGTGCCTATGGCCAGTTCATACAGGATGCAACCCACAGACCAGAGGTCCGCAGTGTGGTCATACGGTCGCTCTTCCACCAGCTCTGGAGACATATAGAGTGGTGTGCCTTTGATGGATGTTAGCACCATCGTGTTGGTGCTCATAGCCCGGGCAAATCTGCAGATGACAGAATGAAATGGAAAGAGAGAAAATAATCCATGAAAACTAGACTCGGTCACTATTACCTATCATTGTGTGAGGTATCCCAAACCAAATAAAGCACCTTCCAAAAGACCCATCACCTCCCAGTCTCCAGCTCAGGTTCTAAAATGAGGCCCACAGAAGTCAAAGGCAGGGTCTAAGAGTCCTTGCAGAATGAGAAGCAGAGACAGAAGGTCAGGCTCCTCACCCAAAGTCACAGAGTTTGATGCCACCACCTTTGGCAAGAAGGATATTCTGAGGTTTCATGTCTCGGTGGAGGATGCGGTGGGAATGTAGATAGTATAGGGCTGATACCAACTGGGCAGCAATGGCCTGAACCTAGAGGTCAAACAGTCAGATGGAAAAGACGAAGGGAAGGGCAGGGAAAGGACCTGTTGACAAGTCCCAAGACTCTTCCCTAGATGTCTCTGCTGAAGATCTTCTTTACCCTCCCTTTCTTCTCAAGTCTTACACAACACCTTCTTTAGAACTTACTCCCCTTCTCATTCTTTCTTTCCTTTGTTAACCCATTCATTCAAATAAGGTCTTACCAGCTGTGGGCAACTTATCTGTGTCTCTCAGATTCAGCATCTATAAAGTGACAATAATGATACCACCTACCTCACTGTGGAGATTAAGTCAGTTAAAGCACATAAAGTTATGTAATTCTCAGAATGGTGCCTGGCACTTAGTATGTATGCAACGTATAGCTCTTCTCTAAAGAAAGAGCCAGACACCAAACAAGTATCATGACATAAATAATGGGAGCTCAGAAGATAAGTCTTATGGGAGGTTTACTTGCTAGAGTACAGAGAAATCCCTAGAATGAGCGTCGCCAAAAAATGTGCTCAAATCCCACATAATCCCTGTGTCATGGAAACAAGTCCTGACATAACCACAACCCTTATTTCTTCCCGCCTTCTCTGGTACTACCACATTGGCCTAGTAACAACAAAATTAATAGCTAACTAAGCTAAATACTTTGTGTTGGGCACTCTTTCAAACACTTTATGTGACTTAACTGATCTATCTTCACAATAGCCTTGTGAGGTAGACATTATCTCTACAACTGAGGAAGCTTAAGCATCAAGTGGTTAAATTGCCCAAAGGATCCAGCCATTAAATGACAGAGTTGCGTTTTGTACTCAGAAATTTTGGTTTCAATGTTTGCATACTTTACTATCACACCACAGCATCTCTATATCCACCTAGACTTTTAGGTTTTTCTCAGGAGTCTTCAAAATGGAGACTCTCAGTGCCCTCGCTTCTACCTACCAATCTTTACTGAGAAGAGAAGCCAGGGGCAGGGAGAAATTTGAGCCAGGAAGCATACCTGATCTTCAGGAAGTTTTCCATCATCTTCCAGGATCTGAAAGAGCTCTCCCTCAGCATAGTCTGTCACTACCACCACCTGTAGGGAAGAGGCAATGACATGGATAGCCCGAGCTTTATGCAGTCTGAAGTTGGGAGATTCCTGGGACCCATGTGTTTGAAGGGAGGTGACCCCAAACTGTTAAAGCACACCTCTTTGTCAGTCTCAAAGCTGTCGAGCATATGCACAATGTTGGGATGCCGCAGACCCCGCATGATTTCAATCTCTCGTTGCAGATTCTTCAGCTCCTTCTCTGAGCGTCCCAATTTTGGAATGAACTTCAGAGCCACTACCTGTCAGTGAGTGCTAAGAGTCAAAGCTTAACCACACTATTGAAAAGGACTAGAACTTCAACATTAACCTCAGCGTTCCACAACCTGGACTTCAAATTGTTTGAGTAATTCTCACGATAACTGTTCCCACTACCTTCCCCCATGGTACCCCAGCCTTACCCAGGCTTGCCCTATCTCTTGCCTCAGGAGAAAATAGCATCTGCCAGACAGATCCCTTTAGTGGATTCTGGGAGAGGTGCTCTGATCTGGGTTGAAAAAACTCAAGATTTATGGGGAAGATTATATGGGAAAGAAGAAAAAATGATAGGGAAGTATAGCGTTCAGGGGATTTACTGCTTTCTGCATGGTATATCAGAGATTAATAATAATAATAATTTGTTATATGCTAGATGTCAGGCATTAAATGCAACATCATTTAATCCTCAAACTTCATCAAATACTGTTCTTATTCCCATTCAACAGATGAGGAAACTAAAACACTGAGAACTTAAGTAACTTGTCTATAACTCTAAGGCTAGAAAGTCATGGGATTAGAATCTGAATTCAATTAATCCAACTTCAGGGCTCACGCTCCTAAGAAACATGAAGCAATCAATGCCTTAGGATTGCTTGGTATTAATGCTTCCCATATGGTCCCATTTTCTACTAGAATTGGGAGTGCAAATCCCACTCAAGAAATAACCCTCTTTGTTCACCACCTGAGCACTGTATTTTCGTCGACCCTTGTACACCCTCCCAAAAGAGCCTTCTCCAATCATCTCCAATACGTGGTACTTTTCCATGACAGAGGTTTCGGGATCCCTCAGAAGGAAGAAGGTAGCGAAGGGCTACAGCTTCAGGGACAGTTCCAAACATCTGGGAGGCCTGGTTCGGGAAGGTGAAAAAGGTTAATATTAATCATCTTGCCTTTTTCTCATAACCCAGGCCACAAAAACATGGTAGGATGGAGTGGATGAAAAGATAAAATCTTGGAGTAAACAGAACGCCTCTTGCAGGTCTTCCCCCTGCCCAAATTCGCACCCACTGGACCCGTGTCCCCCTCCCTGCTCCCCCCCCCCCCCCCCGCCCCACCCAACCTCTGCCGCATCCACCCAGCCTCGCCCCTCGACCCCGCCCCCTCCACCCAGCCTCGCCCATCCGACCCCGCCCCTCCCAGCCTCCCCCAAGTTCCTGCCACTGCCAACCTCCTCGACACCCCAGCGCAGACCCGCTGCGGGCGCAAATCGCAGACCGCAACCCTTCCCTCGCCCCCAGCCTAGGAGCTTCAAGCTCCTCAGGCCGAGGGACGCCAGCCCAGCCTTCAGCCCCGCCCCCTCTGGCTGCCCGCGCACTTTGCCTGATTTATAATTCTTCTGCACCCTCCCTGCCGCTGTTTTTAGGCTCCCATTCTTACCAATTTTGCTCTCTTGAACTGGTCAGATGTTCAGAGGACAAAGGCGTTCAGCGGTGTGAGAGAGACGGCGGACGAGCCATTGGGCACTTTCTAGGGCACTTCCGAACCGTCGCTTGGCCACTAGGACCCACGAAGGACCCGGAGTCTGCGGTTGCCTAGATACGGCCGCTCGCTGCCCGCCTCACCCCGCCTCCGGCTCGCGGCCGCCGGCTTCGCGAGAGCGTTTCCGGTTCCGGAAGTGGGCTGGCGAGGACATGGCGGTGTCAGCGTCGGCCGCTGCAGGGGAGGAGGACTGGTAACTTTGGGGCACGGGCTTTGGCTGATCGCCCGAATGCGATCCGGGGAGCTGGTGGCGGCCGCGGACGACCCGCAGGGTGGGGGGCGGGGGCTGAGAGCCAGGTGAGGGGTGGCGGAGACGCTGACATCTCGCCCGAAGGGAGTTTCTTGGGACTGGGAAGCGGAGGGGTGGAGGGGAGCTGGTCTGAGGGTTAGGAGACCCGATGTGCGCCGGCCACGGCCAGACCAGTTCGGGCCGTACCTTATCTGGCTCGACCCCCACTCCTCTTCACCCCGTGCCGTTCTCCCCTTCGAAGCGTGTTTACTCGGGGTCCCGGGGGATGCCCGTTTAGCGTATCTCCGCACCTCGGTTTGACTTCTCGGAACCAATTTCCTCCAGTTCTCGTCCCCCTGTACCCTTGCATCAACCTGTTTCCCCTGAGGCTTTCGCAACCTCCTCCTTCCCCGACAACACTAATGAGAAGTGTGTCTGAATAAAGCTTTACACCTCATAGAAGGTTCTCCAAGTCCTTCCATTTAAGCTTCCTTGGTGAAGAGATAAGACCCTGGAAGGATCCAGCGATTTGGAAGTAGGATAAATGTGGGTTAGTTGCTCATTTTATTAGATGTGTGATGCTAACCGGGCTACCTAGCTTTGGTGAGTCAGTGTCCTCAGCTGTGAAAATGTGGGTGTGGCATCTACTTCATAGAATAGTTGAGAGGATCACTGTTGGATTTGTAGCATGCATAAGCCTCCTTTTCATTAATAACACGGTTTATAATCCTGAAGATACTAGATTTGGCCTGGAGAGGTAAAATGATTTGTTCAAAGGTACCAGATTGTCTCACTCCAAAGCTTATGTTCTTATAGTTGTAAAAGTCTATAGTTCTTTCTTCCACATCCCCTCCCCTTTTTTTGTCACCAGCTTAACACCATCCCACCCCATCCCTTACATCCAGGGCAAAGTCACTGCTAGGGTGAAGCCAGTATTGAAGGGCTTCTTGTTGTAGGCTACACTTCTGTGTTTCATTGGTTCAGAGAGTCCAGCCACTGCTGGCCTTTATGGGCTCTGTAGATCTTTGGTTTTCCAATTATTCAAGGAAAGATTAAGATTCTGAGGAGTCACTCGAGCCATGGAGAGGGTAACAGGGATTTTAACAACCAATCTATGGTCCTCTGAGACGCCCACTCCCATGTCAGTCAGAACTAATTCACTGTTACCTGCTTTATATTTTGAGAACTTTAAAATATATATTTTGAACTCTTTAAAGTGACTAACTTTTTAAAGTTTTGAAAAACACAGATACACAGGTTGCACTAAGGTAGCCCTGCCGTTGTGAAGTGGGGCCAATATAAGTGTAAGAAAACAAACAAAACATGTACTTCCCATATATTGCCTGGGTAGAGCTGTGGACTCAAGTGAGTCATCTTCAGTGTCATTACAACTGCTGTTTCTGTAATTCAACATGTTTGTCCTCTGATTTACATCAGGACCACTGAATTCTGACCTGAACAGGTTGATGTAGCTCAACCACATAGCAAGGTTCATAAATATGTCAAGTACTAACTACATCCCTCTTTCTTTTGAAAGGAGACGGTTATATACAAACCAGAAAAAGGATATAGATTAGCTAGTATGGCTAAGATACTGCAGGATGCTTTAGTTAACAAATCATCTTTAATCTTTACAGTAACCCTAGAGAAAGGATGGTATTATCTATATATGATAGGGTAACTCAGGCTTACAGAAATAACTGCTCAGATCACGTAGCTGGTAGGTGATTGATACCTGTTACCAACTCCAAGGCTGATGACTTTCACTACAACACAGCCTTTATACCACCTAGACCTGTTGTTCTGTTCAAGCTAGTACCTCTTTTGAGAAGGTTTGGGGTGACTGGTATCAGCAGTATGTTTTGATAATAGCCAGGGTACTGGATTCCATGTAAATAGTGATAAAGAGAAAGCCAGGAATATAGAGAAAGTAGTATAGAGACGTCTAGGTATGGGTAATCTGGACGCTAATCAGTTGGCATCATATATATATATATATATATATATATATATATATATATATATATATATATATATATCTGACTGAGATCATCACTAAGGAGCTGCCCAAAGCTGACAAAATTTGAATGCAGAATCAAGAGACCTGCTTCTGGTTCCATTTCTACCTCTTACACCTTGAGACTTGGACTACTCATTTCACCTCTCTGGGAATCTGTTTTCTCATTTGGCAGAAATGATGTCTAAAATTCTGTTTTCTCGTGCTTCCTCTCTGGCCACTTGATGGCTTAAAGAAGCGTATTTCCCTTGTTTTTGTGGAGAATAACCAGAGAATGTACTCAGTCTAGTTGCCATTTTTCTGCTAGGCCAGCCTTCATTGGCCTTGGGCTTTAACAGGGAGCACAGTAATGGTAAGTCAATCTCCCCTGTCTCTTTAGGGTCCTTCCCTCAGAAGTCGAGGTCTTGGAGTCTATCTATCTGGATGAACTACAGGTGGTTAAAGGAAACAACAGGTATGGATTCAACTAGGGGTGGGCAGGAGGCCCCCTAAAAACAGGAGGATTCCTTGCATAATCTGGTCTTGAGACACTGAGCCCTGATTCAGAAATGTTCCTCTCATGTAGGCAAAGGCTGTTCCTTTCGTCCCCCAAAAGAAAACCCAGTGCCACTTCCTCCACCCACTTTACTGTCTCACCCCCATCCTCCCCACCCCTCAAGTCCCTGCCCAGTCACATCCCAGGTTTCCGCTTCATCCACCTGCAGATCCTCACCATGGGAGATCTACATCACTCTGCACCCTGCCACTGCAGAGGACCAGGATTCACAGTATGTCTGCTTCACTCTGGTGCTTCAGGTCCCAACACAGGTGAGCACCCTACTCTGACAGCAGAGCGAGGAAGGAGAGAGGCCCTGGGGTAGAGTGCTTTAGCAGTAACTTGCTATTTTCTCTCCCAAGTATCCCCATGAGGTGCCACAGATCTCTATCCGTAACCCCCGAGGACTCTCAGATGAACAGATCCACAAGTAAGTTGGGTCCGTCAAAGCAGGGAACACTTGGATACAGCTCATTCTAGTGAAAGAAGAAGCCAGGTCTCATGTTTAGTTTGTCTTCTTCCTCCAGGATCTCACAGGCGCTGAGCCGTGTGGCCAATGATGGGCTGGGGGCAGCTATGCTTTATGAACTCATTGAGGTAAGAGGTGTGCTAACCTGGGGTAACGTCCTTCCCTGAAGGGAGAACAGTTTCTCACAAGGAAAACCATAGACCTAGGATCTTAAATATCTCTGGAGTCACTCATTTAGTCCTTGTGTAGGTTAAAGCCAAGTGGATCCACAAAGATGACACTTTTTCAGTTGGAAAAATCTCCCCAAAATATAGTACTGTATCTTTTCCAAGTTGCCTGTTCAACCATCTTGACAGAAAATAACGTTTCCTCTGTGGTGTGCTTCTTTTTTTTTTCTTTCTTTTTTTTTTTTTAACTTTCAGTGCAATTCTTGTTCTCTTGGCACTGGCAACTCAATGTAGCAAGAGGTTGTTCCCTGGAGGGCCTTTGCATAGTGAACATATGAAGGCTAGTCTGCTATTGGAGCTGCCTGGAAGAAATCTTGGTCCTAGTGCTCAAAGTTTCTGCCCTCATGAAGGAAACAGCCCACCTGAAACAACACCTAGAACTATAAGTTAATATACACAGATAACCTTGGTTAGCTAAGATTAGAAACACAGTCTCAATACAGTCCTGTTTTCCTCTGCTCTGAGTGCTTTAGAAAATGTTCTAGAAAAGAATGAAGGTGGGTGGCCTAAAGTCAGAGAGGGCACAGATCACAGCTGCACTCCTGACCCAGGTGCCACTGTGCAGACTTGAACTCTGGGATTCCAGGGAGTTAGCTGGTCAAACAGCAACACAAATGTGCATATTTCATTTGCATGAAATGCTTGGCTTTTTGAAAGTTGACTCCACAACAGGCTGAAGGGGGTTCATTAAGAAAGGCCTCCGGTAGATGTGAGTCTTACCTGAACATTTGTTTCTGTCTAAGATGTATTATTTTCACCACCACCACCACTCCCCTCAAGATATATTAAAGGCAGCTTAATGAGTGGTAAAACAATCACATTGGATTTTGAAGTCAAGCAGATTTAGGGGGTAAGGTGGGGACATGGAAGAGGGTCGATCCCAAGCAGAGGGAGCATCCCCAAGAAAGAAATGCATGAACACAAGGTTATCACTCTGACTTGGTGAGAGGAGTCCAGCCAGGCACTCCGGGAGTGGTAGGCAGGCTGTGCTTGCAGTTCAGGCCCCTGCCTCCCTGTTTGAACAGCATCTTCTTTCCTCTCAGAAAGGGAAGGAAATTCTCACAGATAACAACATCCCCCATGGCCAGTGTGTCATCTGCCTCTATGGTTTCCAGGTGAGTTTCTCCCTTGGCACCTGGGATCTATTTGGGATGGGCAGTGAGGGTATGAGAGTGGACTGACTCAGTGCCCCACATCTGTCCTTCCTCCAGGAGAAGGAGGCCTTTACCAAAACACCCTGTTACCACTACTTCCACTGCCACTGCCTGGCTCGGTACATCCAGCACATGGAGCAGGAGCTAAAGGCTCAAGGACAGGAGCAGGAGCGGCAGCACGCCGCAACGAAACAGGTTGACCCGCCAGTCCCTGCTCTCACTTGACACCTCTTCTGCCCTTCTGCTCCCTCTTCATCTTTGTAGGGTCATAGATACCTTTAAGAGTAATGGAAGCTCCCCTCTGTCCACACAAAAGGACATCCTTATATGTTTAATCATATTGCATGCAGTTTCAGAGGGTTTCCCAAGCTCTAACTAGGTAACCCCTACACTGTAGCACCTCACTGCTGAACAGGTATGCTGTGCTCTTTAGCCTGATGGGGTTGGGCAGCTGGCGAGCACCCTGGGCTATGAAGCAGGGGTGTGATTTCTCTCTTTGTAGAAGGCAGTTGGTGTGCAGTGTCCAGTGTGCAGAGAGCCCCTCGTGTACGATCTTGCATCACTGAAAGCAGCCCCTGAACCCCAACAGCCCATGGTAAGGGAATTCCTTTCTAATCTGAGCCAAGAATAACGGCATTCTCCAAGGAGGGAGGAATGGCATCTTGTCTACCTTGAATGGAATCTCTGGAACAGTACCTCTCTGCAAAGCCACAGATTCCGCTGGGATCTTAAGGTGGTTCAGGAGCCCAAATCCAAGGGACATGACCAAGCACCTGTACAATCCTGCGAGAAAGCAGGTCTGAGTCTTCCTTGTCCTGTTTATACTTTCCTCCCTGCTATTCTGCTTCTTCCCTCCAGGAGCTGTACCAGCCTAACGCAGAGAGTTTGCGCCAACAGGAAGAGCGCAAGCGGCTCTACCAGAGGCAGCAGGAGAGGGGGGGCATCATTGACCTTGAGGCTGAGCGTAACCGGTACTTCATCAGCCTCCAGCAGGTGAGGAAATTTCAGCCTTCCTACCAACACCCCTCCTCCATAGCCCTAGGATTGAGCTTTGTTCTCCCCAGAGAGGTTACAGCCTGACAGTGGTCAGAATGGGCAAGGAACAACCTGTGGCTCCCTGCCTCCAGGAACAGCATCTCCTGCACTCTGTCACTCACTTCTTTCTAGCCTCCTGCGCCTTTGGAAACTGAGTCAGCTGTAGATGCCTCCAGAGGATCCCACCCACCCAGTGCTCTTGCCACAGAACCACGGTCCACCTCATCCACTGCCCAACCCACCCTGCCAGCACCTCTGCCTGCAGTCTCCCAGTTCACGTGTGAGAAGATTCCAGGGACTGGGTCAAATCAGCAAAGGTTGGGCGATAACCAGAAAACTACACTAGATCCCCCCCGGGCCAGCCGAGGCCCCTGGAGACCGCAGGAACGGAGGCACCTAAAGGGAGGGGAGTGCAATGCCCCCAAAGGCACCAGTGACATGCAGGAACTGCCACCTCCTGAGGGGCCCTTCAAGGAGCCCATGGACCTAAAGCCAGAACCCCAAAACCAAGTGGTTGAAGGTCCTCCCCAAGAGAAGGGGCCTGGCGACTGGCAGGGTCCTCCACCCCGCAGGACTCGGGACTGTGCCCGCTGGGAGCGCTCCAAGGGTCGGACATCAGGTACTTCCTACCCCCGCCTGCCTCGGGGTCGGGGAGCCTATCGACCTGGCACTCGGAGGGATCCCCTAAACCTGGAATCTGAGGATGGTTCCTAGCAGTACTATGGGGGGACAGGGAATTTGGGGTGGGAGGGGGACAATAAAGAGATTTGGCCTTGTTTGGCTTTGTTGTGCAGCACCTTCTGATTCTTTCTACATTCTTAGCAAGGCTGGAACGTGCCATCCTAGCCCCAACTTTGTGCTGTCTGTTCTCAGGGCATTAGGATATGGTAGAGTCTGACATCTAAGGAAGTGTAGTGGCTTCCAGGGAAAACTAGTGTATGTCAGCATTTAAGTAGACTACAGAAGAACCACCTTGCCACCTAGCACAAGGACCAGCTGAATATGGTATACCCACATTACATGTATAGTAAATCCTCGCTTAACTTCATTGATAGAGCCTCAAAACCGTGACTCAGCAGAAGGACATAATGAAATCTATCTGAGCATAGGCTGACTGACATAAAACAAGTTTCTTCAGTATATTTCTGGTCACAGAAACACCAAATTTCTAAATAAAGACCCAAAACTCTTCTAATATTAAACAATCATTTGTATTCACTTGCCACCCCACTTATTCCAGTTCAGGGTTGCAGGTGACCAGAACCCATACTGGCAGCTCAGAGCACAGGGTAGGAACTAGACCCACCTGCAGGATGCCCTTCCATCTCAGGGCACACAGTCTCACTCCAGCTGGGACAATTGAGACACACCAGTGAACCTTATGCACATCTGGTCATGGCAAAAACTGGAGTCCTAGGAGAAAATTCACACAGACTTGGGGAGAATGTGCACACTCCACACAGCCAGAGCCCTAGGGTGGGAACTGACTTTCTCTTCGTTACAAGGAAGGGCTATTTGAGCTCCTGCTGTATGTGTCTTTTTGTTTGGATGCCTTGAGGTGGGCTGCACTTGGTTTTTACTAGTCTCTCTCTTGTTGGTTATGACTCCAGCACATGTATATGTGGGTGTCTGATGGCCCCTGTATGCATCTGTGATCACAGCCCCTGCATTTTAGTCAATACATTAAGGGAGGTCAGAGACCAGATTAAGTATGGCAGGTATTTATTGGTTTACAAGTGTTTGTTAAGCAGCTAGATTGTCACCTCCTTAGAGACTCAGTATTGTGAATTGCCCCTTTGGGGTCATTTTTATACAGCATGAAGTAACCCTGCACCTGGGCAGGACTGATCTCAACTGCAGCTTGAAGAACACGATTCGCAAAGTCCTCAGCCAAGGAAAGTGCTTGTCCTGGATAGAACCTCTGGAACATCTGAGTGAGCTGCCAGTGTGAGCAATAACCCACGTATTCCTTAAAGTCTACTCGCCCGGGGCGTATCAGGGCAGGGTCCAACCTAAAAGAAGGCAGAAAAGCTGAGTCAGGCAACAGAACCACAAGCAGACCCTCCTGAACCCTCTGGTAAAGGGTTGCAGTCTTGTCTCAGTCTCAGAATACTTCACTCTTACCTGTCAACATAGTTGGTGGTCATGAACACAATGCGTGCCTCAGTGGAAGCCACACCATCCAGGGCATTGAGCAGCCCACTAAAGGTGAGGCGACCTAGACCTTGGTATTTTACTGGGTCTATAGGAAAAGCAGAAAGAAGCACGGATTGTCAGTCTCCTTCCACTCCCCACCATGTCTGCTTAACACCCATAGGCTCTGGCTGCTATGCTGGGCAGCTTCCATCAGTTCCCTGGGTTCCCACCTTCGTCCACTATTCCTCATTGGAAACACTCCTCCTCCAGGGCCTCCCTGGTGGCACAAGGGGTTAAGATGCAGCACTATGACGCTATCTGCAGCCACTACAGCACAAGTTTGATCCCTGCCTGGGAGGTGACCCACATGGCACAGCAGACCTCTCCTGTCTCACCCGCTGCTCCCCTCAGCAGTATATTTTGGTCAATTCACCTATTCCCCACTCTATCTCTGATGAATCCTCTCACCCTCCACACCTCTGGCCTGTACCCCAGTTCTTGTATGCATAAATAAATAAATCTTTTAAAAAAAAAGTTCTCCAGGACAAATGTAAAAAAGAAGAAAAAAAACACTCTCCCTCCCTTAATTGCCCTCACTTACTCTCCAAGGCCAAATCTCGACTGAGAAAAGCAGCATCCACGTCCTCCAGAAGTACCAGGCTTTGCTGAGGGGCCACGCTCAGCAGGTGGTTGAGCCGGTCATCGGAGAGGCTGGAATCTGTGAGACTCAGCAGGCAGATGCTGTACTCCAGTTCCCCAGCCAGGGCTGTGCTGTGGAGGATGGGATGACATGTGGTCAGCGACCTGGGAGTTCTGTCCCTGGGCCCAACTGCTCTTTCCTCACTACTACAGGGTGTGTCTCCAAACCCTCCTACCACCCTCCTACCACCCTACCCTGATATTCCATGTCTCATGTTTCTTCTGATGACAGTCGTTCATGTTTTTTTCCCTTTCCAACCCCATCAGCCTAGTTTGTTTCCAGTTTTCAGGTTAAAAGGAACTTTGACTCTACTCACATAAAACTGCTCTTTCCGCAACCAGGAGGCCCGTAAAGCAGGTAGCCACGTCTATAGGGAATACCTATGAATGCAGCCAAGATGATCATCAAGATCTAAAATGAATCATGTGCTCGCCCGAGGGCTGGCCACATATATAGCCAAGCCCTGCTCCCTGGAGGCCTGATGACCTCAGTATTGGAAGAACTCATCCCCACAGGCAACTCTTCTTTCCCCTTCATCTCTGGAAATTGAGCTGTCTAGAGAGCTTTATATTCACCCCATGTGGGCAGAGAACTGCCTGTTGCCTCCTGCTCTAATACCACATTAAAAATAGCTTTGTCGGGCCTCCCTGGTGGCGCAAGGGGTTAAACACTGCACTATGAAGCAATCCGCAGACTCTGCAGCACGAGTTCGATCCCTGGCCAGGCAGGGAGAAACCCACATGGCGCAGCAGACCTCTCCTATCTCACCAGCTGCTCCCCTCAGCAGTGCACTTCGGTCAATCTGCCTGTTCTGTTCCCCACTCTGTCTCTGGTGAATCCTCACTTCCCCACCCCTGCATCCCTGGCCTGTACCCCAGCTCTTGTATGTATAAATAAATCTTCAAAAAAAAAAAAAAAGCTTTGTCAAGACCCCAGCTCCTCACCTCTGTCAATGTACCACTTGGGGTTATCGATGAATTCCCGAATGTCTCTGACAATTCGGTCAGCCAGACCCTGTTCCAGAACCACAGAATTCAGTGGCCGACGGCGGCGTGGATAACCAAAGGAGCGCCATTCAGAGCCCACGGCTGTGTACATCACTGTCTTCCCCTCTTCCTGCTGCAAGGCTAGCGCTCGAGCTGGGAGGAGGCAAGAGGAGACCAAGCCAATAATTCCTCTTTTTGCCATGCAACTAGGCAGGGCTGCGCCCAAACAACTTCCTTTTGGCCCCCTGCTCCCATGAGCTCAGATCCTCCTATTGCTCCTCTCCAAGATTCTCTTCCTCTGATGTCAAAGCTTCCCATTCCTGCAAGCCCCTCTCCCTGTGCCATCCCACACCTTCCTCCAGGATATTGAAGAAAACCGTGCGGTCAGTGCCCAGGGCTGTGAGGGTGACAGATTCCCAAGGTGTCCCCGTCTGCAGATCTATCATCTGCATCTCTCGACTTCGTTCCACTCGGATCCATTTTCCCTGATACCTAGGGTTTAAAAGGGATGTGTGAACGGAGTGAAACCCAGTTCCCCTCATTCTCCTTTTCTACTCTTAGGGCTTCCAAACTTACCAGACAAAGTGGTTTCCAGGGCTGGGGATAAACTCAAACTTAGTGGAGATGCGGCCACTATCATGCTGAAGGTATGAAGTCTCCACACTGAGGTGCTGAGTACTTCTACTATGGCGGGTGAGCCAGCTAAGCAACCAGGCATAGCTCCTGTCTCGAGCAGGGACTTCCAGTGTAATCATGTAATGCCTTCGGAAAGCCAACAGGCCCAGCTGGGCGCCCTTCCGGGCCATGGCTAGGGCTGTGCCCACACCCACCAGCCCAAATCCTGCCCCAAAGTAGGGATTGTCCTTCAGGGCTAGAACAAAGTCTGAGAGGGGCATCTTGAATGGGAGACGATGAAACTTACAGGCCGTGAGTAGTTTTCAAAACCTGGGAATGGAGAGCAGTGAAGGTGGGACAAAACACAAGATTAGTTTAGAACCCGTACTCAGCAATCCCTCCCGCCTGCAGAAGCTGGGAGCGGGAAGGTAAGTGCTACTGTGTGCTTCAATATCCTTACTTTGTGGGGTAGGAATGACGTTGGAATGAGAGGGCTGAGACTCCAGGTCCCTCGTCCCATTTTGCCCTTCATGATCCTGTTCATACCTCAGTTTCCTGACAGGAACATGTCTGGAGATTCCTTAAACTTGAGAGAACAATACAAACGGTTTTCCATCAGAATAAGGGATGGACACATTATTTGTGGTTCCTGGTACCAGCTGAGATAGATGGGGCACCCCCTGGCTGAAGTTAGTAGGTGAAAAAGCTATTCTCTTTCATTCACCTGTCAGTAACCCCATGCTGTGGTTCCATGAGTAATGTCCTTCAAATACCCTCTCCTATCTATGCTCACCTCCTACTGTTGTTTATCCTTTATTATCTCGCAACTAAATTTCAGTTATTGAAATGACATTTTAATGGGTCTCCCCCCCTGCCTCAACAAACTGCTACACGCGAGTCCAGAGCTTTCTTCCTAAGTATCTGCTTCAATTCTGTTAATTTGCACCTCCAATAGCTGGCTCTCATCAGCTTCCTGAATTAGGTAAAAAAAAAAAAAGAAAAGAAAAAAAACCACCTGCCTGATATTCAAGGCCCTCCATAGCAAGGCACCCGTCAACCTTTCAAGACTTAGCTTCTAATACCTGCCTTTGAATAAATATGCCAACAATTTCCCACCTCCACGCTCAAGCAGTTCGCCGGGCCCAGAATGTCCATTCTTATTTCCTCCACTCGCTCCAAATGAAGTCCCGCCCACGCCTGCCCATCTGCTTCTTCATGCAGATTTCCCTGATCCCTGCTCCACTACTCCCAATAAAACATGGTCCGGTCTAATTCTAGACCGTAAGATCCCGAGGAGCTGGGGCCAAACCACCTCTAGTAAGTTTCTCCGACCACTTT